TGGCCGTTTGGTTGGATGGTAAATCTTAGGCATTACAAGTGGCATACCTGTTCTGATGTTTGACCGTTGCCATGGATAGGGCGTGGCGGGTCTGGGGAACTTGAGAACAATAGCATTCTTAAGTTGACTTCCTCCAGACATCATTATCATCGTAGAGCAAGATACAGTGAGGCGAACTTCACTGATCGCTGTCAAGTTTCCTCCAGACCAATGACCTGGTCTTCACGCCCATCGCGGTCAGATACTGGCTTTAAACCGTAAGGATTCTCTCCGAGAATGACAATGTCGTCGGCAAACATGAGGTCGGTGATTCAAGTCTTGTGACTAATTTGCATCCACGAAATACTTCCATCTACCAATCAGAATACGAATAAGCTTATTTTCTTGAACTTACGTGCATGTTTCTGTACGCACGTAGTACGTGGGAATATCAGTCGGTTGGGAAAGTAAAATCAAGTCGAATGAAGTAGTTCGTAAACTGATGAAACACAAAAGCTGTCGGACGCGGCAGTTTCATCGAATTTTCATCATGATCACTGATGCCCGCACTGGCGTTGCACAGTAATATGCGTTGATGAGCCTTATGAACTTCTCGGAAATCTCATCCGATCGGTATGCAATAAGCTCCAAAGTGATTATCTACTGACCGAGTTCAGTGTAGTGCGAAAATCAATAAAAGAAGCGAAAGTTCGCTTTTCCTTTTTACACTCTACCGGTGGCGCACCTCTTTTTTCAGGCCCTTAAAAAGTAGCCGATATTAGTTGACACTGGACCGCCATGAGCATAGCCATATGGCGTGGGTAAATGCACAAGTGTTTGAATCGTAGCACCTTCCTACTCCATAGGTTTGTCCCAAATTACTTAACATCTAACATCTTGGTAAATGAGGGAAACGAGAAATTTGAGTGCTCCCATAACTTGAACAAATTCAGGTATTCGATTCGGTTTGTTGGAGAATAAACCACCTATAAATGTCACAATTTGATCTTGATCGGCCTGAGAGGCGTGGGTGACTAGTCCACCAAGACCATATGATCTAAGTGATACGGACTATCGAGT